TTCCATGCCAAAGCCAGTTCCCCAAGTCAACAGCTCACAAATGCCTTTTAAAGAATCATAGAATATAAGAAATAGAGGGACCTGGGACATCACATCATGGGACTTTCAGATGGTTGCTTAGATGACTCTACTGAACCTAAGGCCAACAGGTGCTTCAGTCTTGACACAAAATACTTCCAGAGGTGGGAAACAGCCTGTTTCTGGGAGAAGTCAATCTCTTTTTAGACATGCTTCACCTTAAGAAAAGTAGTGCTTTATTTTAATTCTTCCCCATGTCCAAGGCTCAACCTAACCCTGTAGATAGTCACCTATATAAGCTGACACAGACCTCAAGTCTGCTCTGGATATTCAGATGGTACAAACTCAGTCTAACCACTTGTCATCTGGCACAGACCACCTCTCACTCACAAAGCAGTCAGGAGACTGTTTGGTGCCCTGCTAGAATCCAGATGTGCCTTCTAGCCTACAGATTTCCCCTTTACCTTTATCTTCACCAAAAATAAATAAAGCAAATCCACATCATCTTCTCTTTTTTAGGGTTAGTTTCTAATAATCAGTACTTTTTCAAAGAGCACAGAAAACCTCTGTTTTAATCATTCTTCCTTGTAACTTTGCCTACAATGTGCATCCAATCACTGGCTTAGTTTGTAGGCTCTATTTGCCTTTGCTCTGTATTCTAGTACTCTTCTCATTCTTCATAGTTGTTTTGTAATCTTATGTATATACTTACTTATTTCTTAATGGATGTATTTTTTACTTAATGCACTTTTCATGAGTTTCATTATGTCTGCATTAATTTTAGCCAACATGGTCTCATATTTTCATTAGCTTTGAACATCTTGGTAGCTATCTTTGCCCAAGGTCGGTGACTCCATTCACAGACAGTGTGAACATTTTTAAGCAGGCCAGTGTCTCTCATAAGCCATAGCCTAATGGAATGCTTACACAGAACTACAGGTTACATGTGGATTTGGGTGTGAACTGACCTAGTTAGCACACAGTCTACTAGGACATCTATGTCCCTAAAACATGGAATCAGACAGGAAATATTTTTGAAAATTTTGTTTTCTGCTCTTTATTTTAGATAAATTGTTCATTTCCTAGTACACTTTTATAATAGACAATGGTTGGTGATTATATTTATCTCTACATATACATTGCAGAATTAATCTAAATTGTTAAGCCTAAAGCACAAAACTTTCCAGTACTAAAATATGTCAATATAATATAGCAGTATTCAAAAACCCAATGTAAAGACTTCTTTGCTTCTTATAAGAGATAATTTTATTCCACACATGAAAAATATGAACTCACCCATAAAGAATTATATGTCATTTGCATATGTGCCTATCTGTGGTACACATCATCCTGTTAGAATAAAGAAGGCAATGTAGTTGACAAGCAATGTTGAAAACTGAAAAGTTGAGCATGTTCCTTACCTGCCATTAGTTCACATTTACTTTCTTAGAATCCCAGGGCAACTGCATTACTGGAACTGCCTTATTTTCACTCTCCACAGCTTTAGGAAACAGAGGTCCTGCCATCTCTCTTCAACTCTGGGCTCCTATGAAATTCTTGCTGAAGCCTGGATGGGTTGAGAACACCTATTTCCATTGACCAGGGTCTGGTTTCTTCTATTTTGTTTGACCTGGGCATGCTCAGCTTCCAGCTAGTTCCATTCACCAGGGTCTGGTTTCTTCTGTTTTGTTTGACCTGGGTGTGCTCAGCTTCCATCTGCCTGTCATCCTAGAACAGCATTCCGTGCCAGCCTATGTGGCATCTCTTGGGTAGGAAGATTAAGTCTTCTGGAGTCAATCACATTCAGTAGCTGAACAAACAATGCATCATAGAGGTGGGCTTTTATTCATAGGAAAGCAGATAGCCATTTTGGTGATAAAATATTTATTCCTCTTTTATCTTCTTGTTGCCAAGACTACTGCATATAGCACATTTCTTAAGAGGAGCTTGAGTGTTAAAGAGGTTAGATATATTAATAGGGAAATTTTTATTTTGAAAACATATATTAACATTTTATTGCCCAGAACTCATATGGTTTGCTATTAAATGTTTATTGAGATCACACTGTGTCATACTTTAAGCCAATACTTTTTCTTATTTTTATTCATTACCTTCCTCTAAGAAATAACATTCTTTATAGCTTAAGAAAGTGAGGGAAAAGATGCAGTCATTTTTAAGCTCAGTGAATTAATCAGTGTGAACTGATATTAACTTTCAAAAAAGTTTGACTTCTCTAAACGAACATTTTAGCATAACTTAATTTTATTTAATTGAACATACTTTTCTCTTAGCTATCTACCAAATACTGAGTAAACTTGATGGGGTCCAAAGATGTTAGCTGGGAGCTCTGATCTCCCTGAGCTGTCTGTGCAATGGGGGTCACTAGCACACAAATGCAGATCATTCTATACCTAGGCAGACTCAGATTAGCACTGTGGTAGGAGCTCAAAGTTCTGGAGATGCAAGGAAGAGAACAAGGTTGATCCTGGCTGTTTTCAAAAGGCCTTCAAAGAATATGAATATGCTGAGTGTGAGTTAGATCTTGAAGGATTGTACATGCAGGTAGTATTTGTTAAGTATTTACTAAATGTCAAAACTGTTCAGGGCTTTAAATGTAATGACTTTTAATTCACATGATTAACCTTACTAGCTAAATTGTGTCACAATTCCCACTTTAGAGTTGCATAACTGAGGCATAAAACAGTTAATAACTCTTCAAAGGCCATAGATTAATAAATGATGGGCTCAGGATGCAAATTCAAATTATAACAAGAATGCTCATTCTTAATTATTACATGATGTTACTTCCTGTCATGGATAAACAAAATGTCAACAAGCACATTTAAGCAGGGGGAGCATCTTAACCATAGTATTGGCGAAGAGAATATTAGGAATGTTTAGAAAATTTGAAGTTGATTAGCATGGCTTGAACTTGGGGGGTGAGTATTGAGGAATTATAGAATACAAGATACATGGAGAACACAAGGAGAAGTGAATGGCAGAGAGTTTGGAACATCGGCCTGAGGAACTGCAGTAATACCTTGTAGAGGGAAGAACTGATTGATTGGAGGGATACACGACATTAGGAATCTATTAAGTAATCAATTCCTTGGAAACTATTTGTTGTGCTTCCCTGTGTGCCAAGCACTGTTCTCAGTGTTCGAAGTATAGAAGAGAATAAGAGAAATCAGGCCCTACTTGTGTAGGAAAATATAAAGAATGTGTAAGTAAACAGATAAATGAGCAAGATAATTTATGTAGATATAAAAGGAAAAGAGTAGAATAATATAATGTGATATAGAGTAACCATGGGCAGAGGAGTGGCCACTTTGGAACAGTTATCAGAGAAGGCTCACTGAGAAAGTGTCATTTGAATTGAGGCCTGAATGACAGAAGAGTCAGTCATGTGTGAAGGCAGGTCAAGGGTTCAGCAGAATAGCATTGGGGTTCATTAAAAAAAAAACGTACCAGGCAGATTTAACAAATGCAAAGGCTCTGAGTTGGGAAAGAACTTGAAGGGCTCCAGGGAGAGAGAGGATTCTAGGAAGAAGTGCTTAGTAAAAAAAAAAAAAATAGGGAGAAGGGTACAGGTTGAGGTTGGAGAGGTTGGCAGGGTCAGGACCTTGTAGTGGGGGCAAAAAGCATTTGCATTTTATTCCAAATGAAGTGGAAGCCAAGTTTTAAGTAGGTAAAGGCTTAGCCCATTTTATATTATGAAAAGATGACTTTGGGAAATATTATAGGGTATGAAAAGAAAAGTGAAAGCAAGGAGATCAATTAGGATACAAATTGCAGAGTTCTAGACAAGAAAGAAATGATGTGGTCCAGAACTTGAAGGAGGAACAAGGTGAATAAATTAGATTGTTTTGGAGTCAGAGCTACAAGGACTTGAGAAAAGATATGAGAAAAATGAAGGCACAAAAGGTAAGTCCAAGAATTTTTGCTTAAGTGACTGTATGATGTAGTGCCAGTAACTGCAATGGAGAGAACAGGCTTGGATGTTGGGGATATGAGTTCTTCTATGGACATAGTGAGGTCATGTCTGGGGGCAAAAGGGGAAGCCAATTTGAAGATGGCAAAGGATGATGAGCTGCGAGAGAAACTACAGATATGAAATTAGCTGATTGATGTGAGTAGATATTAGGGTGAGGGGGTGAGGGTTTTAATACTTTCAGGTTTTGAGTCTGATGAACTAGAAAGGAAGTTACTCTAATAATAAATTGATAAAAGAGTAGGAAGACTGAGAAAAGAGAAGGATCAATTTAGACCAGGAGGAAATACATATTCAAATAATGAATAAGTACATAGACTTTGCAATTGAAAAGTCTTGGGTTTGACTCCTAGATGAGCCATTTACTAGATCCTTGTAACCATATACTTAATTATTTCCATTTCCATTGTTTTCTTATCTGTAAATTGATATAGTGATAAGGATTAAATGAGATGATTCTATATAAATGCTTCACAAACAGGAATCTTGTAGTAAATATTATCACTATATCAAAATTGTCATTAGAATAATAACAATATAATAATGATAATACTTCATGGAATGTATTTCATTTATGTTAATTATTATTGAGAGGATAATGTTCTTGCTCTTAGTTCCACTTAAGTAAATATTGTAAGCATATGAACCCAGATTTAGATCCAACATTCCTTTTTATTTTTATTGAATCAGTAAGGCAAGCTGGAAATTATGCTTTATTTCTGTTGTACAGCTAAATAAACTGGGGCTCAGCAAGGGTGACAAGACCAAGGTTAGACTGCCAGGAATTGTAACCTTTGTGGAAGACAAGACTCACACCTGGATATGAATTACACCAAATAATTCTGAACTCCTTCCCAACACTTATAAGATAAAAACACCATTGTACCACTTTGTCATTTCTCTGGGATCTATGCTAAATGAATAAATTCTGTTTAATGGAAAAATTTTTAGCAAGTCAGCATAGCATGAAGCTCTTTCTCTAATTTTCCAGTGCTGGACCAGGATCCTCTCAAGGCCTGTCTTTGGAGGAGGTGAAAAGAAGTTTGCAGAACTCACCCATTGACAAGTACGGTAAGTGGACAGACCCTCTAGGCTCATGAGAAAACCACCCCTAGGCAATGGCATCTACTCCTTCATGACAAGTGAGAAAACATAGTATTTTGTAATATCCAGAAATGAAAGATATTTTAAAATATTATAAAATCCTAACTCTAATCTTCAAGTCTTTTAAAATTCTGCAGTTTACCTTTAAGCTTAATAATAAAATAAAATTAACCTTTGACCTCTCAAGACATTTCAAACATTTCATCATCATGTTATCAGGTCTGTGGCCTCAAAGCCCCATGTCATCCATAGATGTATATGAAGGAGAAGAAAAACCAGGAATGAGTTTTCATAATTACATTGTATCCCAGGAAAACTCTTTCCACCAACTAGCCACCCTCTGGTGACTGATAAATATAGCCATTCCCTCAAAGAGCTGCAGAGAAGGCTGGGAGAGCCAATGGGCTCCATTTCACATAGGTCTACTGCAGAATGGATTAACACAGATCTCAGAAATAATTAATAAAGTTCTGTGCAGGCTTCTGGAAGGCAGAGTACGTACGCACAATCTCCCTTATCATCAGCTGCCATATTAATGCATGAGGCCTGTGATGTCCTTTCTTCAACCTTAAAGCCTGAGAGGCTGTAGGAATTTTGGCAAATGGGTTCCTTTATTTATGGCAACTCACTTTGACTACATGAAGAACTGCATAAAATGTCAGCTAAAGAGATCAGATTAAGACAAGAGTTGTGTTTGAAAAAGAATACATTGGGTGATGTGTGCCTGCTTCTCTGACAGAGATGGCAGATATGGGCTTTGGAATCTTCACCAACACACCTCAACTGCAGTGTCAGAAAGCATTTAAGAAACAAAGGAGAAACTTTGTTCTAGATAGATGCAGACACACTACCTGGGTAGATAAAGGAAGAAAATGTGCTTCTCACTCCCAATACATGTATAGAATGTAGCTGAGTGCTTTTCTTAAAAAAATAATAAAGCATTTATTTATTTATATATTTTTATTGAGATACTGCAGATTGGACTCAAGGGTGCTATACCACTGAGCTACATTCCCTACCTTTTATTTAAATTTTAAATTTTCATTTTGAGACTAGGTCTTGCTGATTTGCCCAGGTGGGCCTAGAACTTGTAATTCTCCTGTCTCCTGAGTAGCTGGAATTTCAGCAACTGAGTGCTTTTTAATCATCCACTTCACAATATAATTAGCCAGTCCAGCAAAAGATCTTTTTGAGGGGAAAATGTGCTCCACATGTCACTACATTGCATTTCTTAATAGATATAATGTCATTTCTTCAAGCCTCACAGATGTGACTCCCCAACCACTAAATACAGGGCATTCTTTGGGTGCTTTGACCAGAAGTCTTTCCTTTTATGGTAGAGTTTCAAGATGAAGCACCTCTTTAACTTAGAGAACTTAAGAGATCCACTTCTTAAAGAGACAGAACTATAACAATTCCCAAGCTGGAAAAGACAAAGGACTTAATAATGCAAAAGTTGTTGTTTTTTCTATTCATATATGTACCAGGGATAAGAAAAAACATTAGAATAGTTGATCAGGGTGAGGATACCTACAGACAAAGAAGATATATTCAATATCTCTCACTATAAATACCACATAATACAAGAAAGAACCCTTTCATTTTCCTTCATTTTCATTTCATATATGAAGTGTGGTATAACAGCGACTTCATGAAATGTTTCTTCCTTTGTCTCCCCTGCCCCTCTCTCAGAGCTAGAGAATTAAGGTCAAATTAAATGGCACAACTATTTTATGTGGAGATGTTTCAGTCTTTTCCTAAAGCCCTTGGTCTAGTTGCACTCCTCTTAAGCCAAGTGACTTCTTAGGTCACATGTTTGCATTTACTCTCTGGCAATAATGGCATCAATAATAAATGCCAGCCTCCGTGCCTGCTGATTTTGTTACCAATCCTGAAGGAGCGCCTGCCCACACTGTTGGGACGTATGTTCACAATCATATTTTCATTGGAGTCCTGTGGGGCAGGAGACACTGAGACATCACAGGCCAGTAAAACTACATGTGGCACATTAAAGGTTGATTACAGTAATAAAAGGATTACTAGCTTATTAAAGCATCAATCCATGCATGGAATGAAGTCACATTTTCAGCCTAGATGAGAGGAAATATTTGTGCTCCGTGATATAGATTTGGTTTTAGTCCACCTAGAGTTAAAATTCAGTGATGTATATCAGCTTGCCCTCATCTCATCATGCCCCACCCTGACCTTCCTCATATCTGACCAGACCTGTCCCACAAGAGGTGAGTGAGAGAGTCAATGAAGCATCAGCAGCAGCCGCACTTCCTCTGAGGAGAGTTTATGTGCTGCCTAAGGGATTTTGACAGAGACCTCTCTTATGAAAATAAATATGCCTACCCAACTGCATGTTGCTAGGTGGCTTCATAAAAATGTAGATGGCTGGGTTGCTATTGAAATCTAAGCTATCAAAGGGGACAAAAGCAATAGTAACTACTAACGAATGTGCCCATTTTCACAGAATCAGTGAATGGTTTCCTTACTTCAGAACAGAAAGGCAGCAGCTTCCTGGCACATACCTCTCTGTTCTCTTATACAGTGGCATAAAGTTAAGCCACTAAGCCAGTTCCTTTGACAGACCCATGGATATTGCTTGAAGTCATCATTTGCCACTGGTATTTATACTTAGGCATTGAGTACATTTGAAACTCAAGCTGTCAAGAAGAAAATTTAATACATACATAAATAAAATAGAGCCACCCTGCTGCACAGAAAGTGTCTTTTCTTTTTTTTCTAACTGCTATTCCCACCTCCTCTTGGGGGCCAACAGTGGTCTGTCACTTATTGATGTCAGACTGATGATTATCTAATGCACATTGACAATTTATAAGTCAATGCTATCATTTCTCCCATTTACAGATGAAGATACTGAGGCTGGGAAAGAATAAGTTAATAAAAGTCATAGAGCCTACAGATTTGCCTGACATGAGAGCCTGTTCTCATAGCTTCAAGATACACCACCTTCCTGATCTGTCCCCTGTTATACTCCAAATCCCAAATGTCACCTAGACAGCACAGCTCCAGATCAGACATCTATCAGTCATGTTTATCTGCTGTTTTCATTGTAAGGTTCAGGATTGTTTTATAGCTGCTCAGCAGCTTCTCTGGTCCAGACTCTGTTCACCAGATCCAGGAAAGCTGCCTGACTGCTGTGTGTTGCATTGAGTCAGGCTAAAAAATGGGGAGAGTACTGGAAGGCCAATAAGTAATAACTGAACTTCTTTCTGATGCAGGCTATGTGTCGGATCCCATGAGCCCAATGCATTTTCATTCTTGCCGGAACAGTGGCAGCTTTGAGGACAGCAGCTGACAGCATTTGGCATATACCTAAAAGGAGTTTTCCCCCACACTGACAGCAATGAGTCAAATCATGGCAGGCTTGCTCCCAATTATACTACTTTACTCTCTAAGGTCTCCTTAAATTGGCTTGTTTATACTGGTCCTACTTCATCCCTCTTCATGAGTTGGTTTTTGGGTTTGTGGTTAAAGAAGGAGATGTAAAAGAACCAAGACAGAATATATATCAAGGATTGTTTTTCACTTTGTAAGTAAAAAAAAAAAAAAAACAGTTTATTTTATAACTTGGAAATGGGGCCTCAGTCTGTGGTGGGCACTTAATAATTATTACGTTTTCCTAGACAGAGTTATGTACACTTGTGTTTGAGAGGCCTGTGTTTGATTTCTTAGAATATTGGTCATTTTCTTATCTCACTATGTTACTTCTGGTGTGGAGCTCCATGATTAAAGATTCTTTGGTGGTGTAGAAAATTGATTCAGATGTGTATTTTTATTACAACAATACTTCCACTGAGTATGTCTTCTTTCAGACATATTGGTAAAGAGCAATAATGACCTTCACATCAAAGAGCTTCCCAAAACAGAGTACTTAGTTTTTTACCCCCCTCCCCCCTTTTTATGTCATACCAAGTGTTCTATGCTCTACTTAGGCAACTTGTTGCTGTCAGTACTAAGATGCTCCAAATGCTATTGCCCAGTTATGAAACCAGTCACCTGATGTAAAGCTCCCATTTATATCAGAATCTGGCACAGACCTAAAGTGCCTGCTCTCTTTAAGAAAGGTTCCAGCCAGAAAGACAGGAGTGCTTCCACCTGATGAAAGAGTTTTGCCACTGAAAGACAGACTTGGTTAAAAAGAAAAAGCAGGGAACCATGAAAATTTAGTGATAATTACTGACCTCAACAAGATAAATAAAATTAGAAAAGGAAGATTTGGCCTCCTCTAAGTCAAGGCTTCTTGACCTTGGCCTTAGTGACATTTTGGACAGGATAATTCTTTGTTGTTGGGGGCTGATCTGGGCACTGTAGGCTGTTTAACAGCTTCCTGGCCAATACCACTTCCTGTGATAGATAATTTTATGTGTCAACTTGACTAGATTGTGGTCTGTCCAAGATACCTGGTTAAACATTATTCTACATATGTCCATGAAGATGTTCCCAGGAGAGAATAGCATTTGAACTGGTACACTGAATAAGGTGAACTTCCCTGCCCGATGTGAGTTGGCATCATCCAATCCACTGAGGACCTACATTGGGGAAGAAGATAGGATTCCCTTACTGTCTGATTGACTTATTGAATTGGAACATCAATATTTTCCTGCTCTTCTGCACTCCTGGTTCTCAGACCTTTAGATTCAGACTGGAATCTATGTCACTGACTTTCTAACTCTTAGATCTTTGAACTATACCAACAAACTGTGCAGAATTTCCTGCTTGCAGAAAGCAGATCATGGGATTTCTCAGCCACCATGATTATAGGAGCTAATACCATATAAGACATATACATGCATATTCATGTATATACATACATATGTACATTTGAATATACACATATATACACATACATATATACAGAGTTGGCCCTCTGTGTCAATGGGTTCCACAATGGAGAATTTGACTAACTATAGATAAAAAATACTTGAAAAAAATTACATCTTTGCTAAAGAGGTGCAGACTCTTTATTATTATTCCTTAAAAGATAAAGAATAACATATTTGCATAGAATTTACATCAGATTATATATTATCTAGAGACAACTTGAAGTATACCAAAGAATATGCATAGGTTATAGGTAAATACTATGTCATTTTGGTGGGGGAGGTACCAGAGATTGAACTCAGGGGCATTTGACCACTGAGCCACATTCCCAGCCCTATTTTGTATTTCATCTAGAGACAGGGTCCCACTGAGTTGCTTAGCACCTCACTTTTGCTGAGGCTGGCTTTGAACTCATGATTCTCCTGCCTCAGCCTCCTGAGTTGCTGGGATTATGGGCATGTGCCACCATACCTAGCACTATGCCACTATGTATGGGTATACACAGAAATTCTTGAACCAATTCCCCCTGGATACTAAGGGACAACTCTCCTTCTTATCTATCTATCTATCTGTCTACCTATCTATCTACGATTGGTTCTGCTCCTTCAGAAAATCTGAACTAATATATTCCTCTGCAAATCATGACAATCAAATATGTCTTCAGACATTTCCAAATGTGTCCAGAAGGATGTAATTTCCCCTGGTTGAGAACCTCTGTTCTAAAGCCAAGGAGGACATAGAGGTATATAGAGCCTGCCTCTGATCAGCAGCATTTAGGCATATCTTCCTTCTTCTCCTCCTGAAGTCAGTGGAATACAAAGGAATTGGGAGGTTGAAGTGCTGATTGCTCCTTGGATATCTGTGTAAGCTCTTCTCTCCTTTCCTCCTGCCAATTAGAAATTTTGTGTGTAGAGGGCAATTTCTATCAAGAGAACAGCAACTCCACCTCTAAAATTCCTTTGAGCCTCTTCTTATGACCTTCAGTTTCAAAGTTGCCAGTCCCCACATGCTCTGATTAGCTTGTGGATAGCCCAGTGCGGGCCCAGAGATAGAAATTAAAACCTTCATACTTCCAACTAGATTTATCCCTTTTAAGCCTCCAGCCTTTTCATTTCCCTACCCAATTATTCTGGAGTCACAGGTACTGTATCCCACCAAGCAGGTTCCCATAGGGCTTTACAATAAGCAGAGCCAAGGAACCTGAGGTGACTGCTCAGGCCTAAAGGCAAAGACACAGAAGGAAAAACAGAAGCTGGTTAAAGAACACCTGTCTCCATAGCTCCCCTTCTGTTGCTTTGCTCTGGCTACTCTAGGGAATGAGGCAGTGCCTAGCCTAAGCCAGTTTGGGGCTTAATCCTTTAATGAGCTGAATTAAAAAAGGAATACCTTAAAAGCCGAGGTAGGGGTGGCAAAATGGAGATGGTTTAAACTAAAAGAATCACAGCTTAGGCAATGCTATGCCAAACATATATGTAATCAGGACCATGGACAGTTCCAGGGTGAACCAGGAGTCCTCTCGCCAGTTCCCAGTGGAAGGGATCCTATGCAGAGGGAGGACTGTTTGCTTCTGAAATGCTTCTTTTTTAGAAAGGGGGTTTTCTAGAACAGATTTGTCAAGCTCCCTTTCTTTGTTTCCTCTAATTAGCCACCTCCTCTCTCCACACTGCATTTCCTTCTGCTGCTGCTTCCCTCTGGCTCTTGTCTTGTCAAGTATCTGCAAATAATGAGACTACTGTGTCTTGATTCCTGAGAAGGGGAACCTTTTCACAGATGCCAACCTGTAGCTCACTAAACCATTTTAATTACTACACACTTTCGGTGGGGCTCAGGGATCATCTTAGGGCTTGTCTTGAGATGATGGGATTTTTTAGTTTTGGGTTTTGGGGGTTCTTTTTTTTTCTCCCCCAGCCTCCTTACTGAAAAAATGTTTCACTAATTGCTTTCTTTTTCTGCTGGTAAAAATGAACTTCTAAGATCATGTTGCTGCATGCTTAGCACATTAAATTTTTTCCCACGTACATGCAGCCCTGCACTAACTCCGAAGATGTTCAATTAACTATAATTGTAAGCCAAATTACAGCAGCACCAGGAGAGAGTTATTCCAAGAGCATGATTATTTAGTTTAAATTATTTCTAAAGCTGACATTTCCTTAGGAAACAGAAAAAAAATGGGTGCTTATGGTAGAAGAAAAGGTTAATGCTAAACAATCCATCTAAAATGAAGGGTATGCTTTCTCTCTTTCTTTAATCTTCTTTCTCCTTCCCTCTTTCCTCCCTCTCCTCTCTTCCTTCCCTCTCTCTTAAACCATAAGCATTGGTTATGGAGCCATTTCAACCTTTCATTGTAGTTGTGTTACCTTCGACAAGTTATTTAACCTCTCTAAGCTACAACTTATTATCTGTAAGATAATGATAATACAATTTACCATGTAGAGTTGCTATGAAGATTTTAAATGATATAAAGTTTATAATGTAATAACTGCAGCATAATAGCAGATACTGCTGTTTGTTGTTACTGTTATATCAACATGCATCTAAAGAGCTGTACTGTAAAAGGGGAGCATGAGAAAGGTGGAAATTTTCTTCCTTTTGTAGAAACAACTGTCAGCATCTCTAAAAACTCCATCTTCACAAGCAGCAAGCTGCCCAGCTTACATCTCTGAGGCAGACTGAGCCAAGATCTAGCAGACCTTAGGTAGCAATGTCTGATTTTATACCTGAAATAAAATCAGAAGGGAAATAAAATTCCTTCAGCTAAATGTAAGAACCAGAAAGAATTCTCCCACATGAGAGGGATGCTTAGTAAAAAGTAGAAAACACATTTATTGAGGGCCTGCTGCATGGTAGGGAGAGTTTTTGATTATTTAAAATGTATTATTTGACTTAATTTTCTACATAGTCTTATAAAGGAGGAATTCTTTAAATTTGTTCATTTAGTGGCAAATTCATGCCTGGAGATGCAGAATAACAAATCCAAGCTAGAAAAAAACAAAGCCAGATTTCAAAGCTAATTTTGTCTTGCACTACTGTCCATGATTTGCTTACTACACAATACTGCCTCCACTGTGATGGAGGAAAAGTTAAAACATAGCACATGTTCACAATTCAGAATTGTAAAAGCAAACATATCTGCAGTTCTATAGTCCTGAGGAAAATTTGGGAACTAACATAGAATTTTCAGAAACCAATAAAACAAACCTTTCCTGATTGCTGTGGTTCATTATTATAAAGTAAAGCCAAAAAAATAATTATTTTCTCTATTATAATTATGAAAGAGAAGGGGCTTGGAATAATCTCCAGGCTCAAAAAGCATGCATTGTTATTTTCTAGGCAGAAGGAACCAGAAATGATTGACAGAAACAAGACTCTCACTGTGATAAGCAGAAACAAAAAAAGTTATGAGGGCAAAGCACAGCAATTAGGGAAGCCAAGGAGTTTCACATTCTTCTTTCCTCATTAGCACTCTGGGTGGGGAAAGCGAGGAGAGATGGTGTAGGCTTTACCAGAAGGATTTGAATACCTTATTTCTTCCTAGTTTTGTACTGCTTGCAGTTACTCAAGCATGCAGACCGAAGAGCTCCCCCTGATCATTTCCCTTCCATATTCCAAGAGACACATGGGCAAAGATGAGCCATTTGACATTTGCAATCCCTTCATAGGGTATCAGCTCAAAACTCAGCTGCAGCAATAACAGACTATGGTCCAAGACTGTCAGCTCAATTAGCACTGTATGCAAAACATGATGGAGAGGCAAAGTTCCTCTCTTTCTCCTTGGACACCCTACCTTTTATGAGGCTAACTAGAAATAAAAAGAGCAGGGGTTGCACATTTCTCCCTGGGCCAGAGATCCAAAGCAGCACAGCAGCCGACACAGTGGCAGGGTGCTAATTAAATTAGGCTTCTTGAATTAAAACACTGCCACGGGTGCAGGGCCCT